TTACTACCCTTGATTACTACCCCTTGATTACTACCCTTGATTACCACCGTCGATTACTACCGTCGATTACTACCCTTGATTACTACCCTTGATTATGACCCTAGATTACCATCATATCATTGACTACCATACCCTTGATTACCCTTTGATTACTACCATAGTAACCATACCCTTCATTACTGCCCTGCCCATGATCACAACCCCTTGATTGCTACCAGAGTAACCATACCCTAGATTACGGCTCGTGATTACTATCCTTGATTACTATGCTTGATTACTACCCCCCTTGGTAACTACCCTTCATTACTACCCCTTGATCACTACCCTCGATTAGTAACCCTTGATTGCGACCTTGATTATTACCGTACCCGTGATTAGTACCCTTGATTACTAGTGTAACCTTGATTAATACCATACCCTACCACCTTTGATTGCTACCCTTGATTACTACCCTTGTTTCCTATTTTTGATAAACCTTTGGGTACTACCCTTCGATTTCTAACCTTGATTACAACCCCTTGAGTACTGCCCTTGATCATGACAATACCCTTCATTTCTACCACACTCTTGATTACTACCATACCCTTAATTACTACCCTCGTAGTTTTGGCCAGTGGATCATCCAACGCCCATCTTTGTCCCTTGATTAGGACAGCGCAAACCATCAGACAGAAAGAAACAGAACAGGTCCTGAGTTGATGCTCCAGTGCTCGTTTCTGAATGTAGAAAGTCTGATAAGGAATAAAAGACGCAGGGCATGGAAGCGCACACTTGCAGTTGGAGAAGATATTTTGTGTTCAAAGCATCTGACGTCACTCTCATTCTTCTTCTTCTTCTTCTTCTTCTTCTTTTTTGGGGGTGTGGACTTGAAGCAAGCCCCAATCTATTGGGGGCGAGCAATGCAACACCTACAGAAAACCAGGTCCAGTGGGGCCCATGAGAAACAAAACAATGTACACAAATATGACAGGAAAAAATGTCACACTGCACACAATTGCAAGAGTGGATAGGCCGCTTCAGGGAAAAAAGAAAAGAAAAGAGGACAGGTGGTCTGCATTCACTGAGGAGGGATGGCCAGTTTATCATTAAAAAGGAGGTGGGACTTAAAAAAAAAAATAACGTACGAAAAAGGAAATGCAGATAAACGCCAAGTTGAGCGTAGCCTGCCACAAATCCCATCATACTGCCACTTATAGCAAGCAAGTACATGCTAGCTAGCTGCAAGCTCCCGGTCCGGCAACCAGTTAGGAATATTTCTCTACTCAAAAATTCAATCTGTCGAGCTCTTCTTTCTGGTCGCAAGATAAAAGAAACGTGATCCTCCTCGAACTGTTCCCGTGTGCAGTCAGTTGGAACCAAAGCCATGGCCGCCACCGCGATGCAGTCTGGCCCTTGCTGCAACTGTCTGACCAGATGAAAGGTGCTGTTCTTGGACTGACGGGAAAAAAAAGAAAGGGGAAATTTTCTATATGCCCCTGGAAGTTCGACTCATTTGCGGTGTGCCCCTCTGACGGCCGACTTACCCTGTCGCGCCCCTGGAGCCTCTGAACTTTTCTGCAGGCCCCTGTCAGTGAAGGGCGCGACTTTCCAGCATGTGGCACTTGCAGCCGTTCCCTGGGCCCATGGAGGGGAGCTACAGGGGCATACTGGAAATTTGGAACCGGTACCGCAAGGGGCATATTGAACATACTTCAGGCCCAAACGACGCCAGGGGTTTTTCGGAAACTTCAATAGTTGTAGGAGAGGCGCGACAGGGTAAGTCGGCCGTCAGAGGGGCACGCCGCAAATTAATCGAACTTTCAGGGGCATATTGAACCCCCCCCCCCCCCCCCCCCCCCCCCCCCCCCCCCCCCAAAAAAAAAAAAAAAAAAAGGCTCTGTGGCACTGTGCTGTACATGCACTAACTACACTTCTCTGAGAATGTCTGCAATCCTCATCTCCATGTCAGGTTTCTTTTTGAACCCCTCAACCGCCTTGACGTAGTGATCTATCACAAGCTGCTGACGATTGCCCGGTGCACCTCCCTGTAAATTGCCATTACCCTCCGTCAATTCCTCGTCCGGGTGATCCTTCTCGCGCCCGAGACTCTCCCGGTTGTCGTCGTTGACGTTAATCCCCTTGACCGCATTACCAAACTGGACGCCCCAGTCTCCATCTTCGTCTTTCTTTTGCATTTTCTGAGTGGTGGTGGTATCATGTTGCTCCCTCTTCCTCTTCAAGAAATCCATCCCGATTTGCGTTGCTCCTTTGCTGCTCCTGCTGCTGTGGCGGTGATCGGTCGCCATGCTTCTCTCCTTCCGTAGGAGTCGCATTATGTTCGCTGACAGTTGTCTCAGAGTTGACGCCGGCATCGCTGAATCCTCGGCATCAACCATGTTGACGTTAGTGCCGCCACCTGCCGACTCGGTTGTGCCCCTCTTGGCGTGCTGTGCGTTCGAAACAAACTGCATCAGATCATCGAGAGCCAATGGATCGAGGGACCGAACACACAGCTTTGGCGGTGTTGCCTGTACGTTTGCCTCTAATGTCAAGAGTGCCCTTTTAGAGGGGGTCACAAAACTCAGAAAGAATGCAACGTCAGATTGTCCAGCGCAGAGCTTTTGCAACAAAAGCGCTGCTAGCTCGTCACTCCTTAGATCCTGCTGGGTCAGAACTGCGGAGAAGTTGCTATCGACCCCCGTGGCACTTCTGCAGTTGGAGTCCATGTCCCTGATGTCGGCGGCGGAACCAGCCTTGGGATTGCGGCGTATTCGAGTTCCGCTGTCACATGCCGTTTCCCTGCGCTTGCCGAGGAATTGCAGGTTGCCTACGAGCTGTGCGACCAAGCGTTTGCGGCACGAGGCACGAGTCTGAGTGTGCAGATCGACGACCATCTTAATCCGACCCTTGCCCGACATCTCGAGCAGCCGCTGAAGAGTGTGCACCATTAGCCTCTGTATACCAGGGTGACTGTCAGCAATTCCGTTGCCGACAAAACCCAGGTACGACTCCGCCTTCAGCCTGCCCTGCAGAAGCAACTCAGCAATTGCTCGGTACGCCTCCGTGCTGAACTCGGGCAATGTTCGGTACCTGTTTATCGTCATATCCACGCCGGACGGATGAGCCTTCTCCTTCTGGCGGGCCTCAGTCTCGTTGCAGTGTTTTCCAGCTTGACTGGCGGAGATGCTTCTTTTACAGTTTGCGTGCTCTGCCTTGCTATTGTCATCATTAGCCGATTGTTGAACCAGATCTTCCACCAGTTTGAAAACCGGAAGGTACTCGTTGGGTGCGCATAGCGCCAACTTCGCTGCCGCCTTCAGACCAGCCAGTTTAACTTCATTATGCTGGTTTGAACTCAGCGCTTTCTGGACAAGGTGCTTATGTTCACAGGCGGCTTTCGGACACAAAGCGAGGAAGCTCGCTAAGCTTGTCAATGCAACTGCCTGCAGACCAGGAGGAATCTGTGACTTCGAACTGTCCTCCTTCAGACCTAAGCGGTCCTCCTCCGAACCTGAATGGTCCTCGGAACCGGAACGGTCCTTGGGAACAGAGCCTGATGATTTCATGGATGGCGATTTCCAATTTGAACTTGCTGAAGAGTTTGCCTGAGCAGCTAGTTGTGCAAGGAATGGAATATAGCACCCCGGAAGAGACTGTCCATCGACCAACATTTCGGTGAATTGCAATGCGGCATCTGCCACATCCAACACAACGATGTCAAGAGGCACCTCATCAAACCCTTCCCCGTCATCTCTGAAAGACAATACATGGGCACTACTTGTCCCTGGTTCAACCGCGGCTCAATACATAATGTCCATAAATAATCAGCATGTGTTCAATAGCCTTGCATATCCTATTAGGAAATAAGTTCCCGGGATTAGACCCCCCCCCCCCCCCCCCCCCCCCCCCCACCAAAAAAAAAAAAAAAGAAAGTGGCGAGTACATTTATGTCAGAACAAAGTTTCAGATGGGCAAAAGAAACACTCGTGCTCAAAAGGAAACAGCCGCTGAGTTCGGAAAGGCAATGAAAGTACCACGGCCATGACAGAGACACAGGTGTCATAACTACAGGGGCGGGCCGCGTTGTCAGACGGGAAAGGGAAAAAAAAAAAGAAAAAAAAAAAAGGGCCAATGGATCTATTTTGCCTGCACGTGGCCATTCAAGTTCAGCGGCTGTTTGTTTCGCCCACACCTGTTTTTTTTTGCCCATTTGAGTTCGCAACATGCCGCGTCCACACTTGTTTCAGCAAAAAAAAAAAGCACAAGACGTCGAAGACGACATAAAATTGTCAGATCACACGTATGGCGCGCTCGAGTACTAGTCAGGGTTGCTACCTGTTGTTAATAACTTGTTACTCTTGCTCACAAACGCACACCAGCAAACAGTCATGGCATCTGGATTCAATCTTATCACATCAGGACTCAAACTCATGATCTGTTTTAGTAATAGTTAAATGCGTGCTCCGTTCAGCATGCTTACAAGTAAGGGCCTCGTTAGACACTCCTTACGGTTTCCTTGAGCCACAAGGAAACGTCCTTGTGTTTTCTTAGGGGAATTTGCGGCGTCGTTCCACTCATCCTTGGGGACGTCCCCCGAGGATGTTTCCTTGTGGCTTCCCCGCGGCCATTTTCATACGTAAATTAGCGGCCGCGGGGTCGGTCGTCCTTGGTCCAGCTTCTTTTGTCCGTGTGGAGGCGGCGTGGTCCAGCGACGCGAGGCGGGAAACAGCAGACGGCGGGCGACGCGAAAAGAAATTTAACCCCAAGGGCGTGGGCATTTGAAATTCAAAATTCGAACGACTGCTGCGACGACGACGACGACGTGTGGCTGGCGGCGCGAGGGCGGCGTGCTGCGGAAAGGGGCTCAGCGGCGACGGAGGTTCCGTCCTGAGGCCGTTGCCACTGCGCGGGCAGCGTGTGGTGCTTCCATCGCCGTGCACCTTTGCACTCGTCAACTGCGCGATGCTCCTCATTGCCGTGTGCGGGACTGTAAGCATAGAAAAGGGGCCGCCTTTCGACGGACGTCTTCGACTTCTTCATCGCGTGCGGAAGTACGACACAGACGACAGCGGAACGACGGGACCGTTTCCACGTCGCGACTATGGAGGGCGGCGCAGAGGGTAGACGTGATGTGTTGACTCCTCGTGAGCTGCGGGCCGTGGCGACGGCCGTGTCCACGATCGTTCTTCGATGTCAGCAGGAGAGGGCGCTGGGGCGACTGAAGGAGCAGTTGCGCGCGCGTAGACGGAGGAAATTGACGCAAGATCCGTKCGATGGGGCCGAWTRCGTGGYGACGTCRGAGGCTGTTGTTCAGCTGYGCTACGCGTTGGGTTGCGGAGTGATACCACGTGCGACGCCGCGGTGGTGGGTGAAGCGCAGGACAGGAGGCATGTGGGAAGACCTCAGGCAATGCGACGACGCGACAGACGACTACTTCCGGAATAAGCTTCGAATGTCGCCACGAGTGTTCCGAGAAATCACGGAGCCGTGTGCGCCTCATCTTCAGCGGCGGGTCACGTTCTACAGGGAGCCTTTGCAGCCGGACCAGATTGTGGCGTACGCGCTGTACAGGTGGGCTTTAGGGGAGACGTACGAGAGCAGCACGTGCAACTTCGGAATTGGACAAGCTTCTGGGCTGATTGTCGTCCGCGACGTTACTGCCGCGCTGCTAAGGGTGTTCGGAGAGAAGATCGCGTGGCCAACAGGAGTCCGTAAACTCGTCGTTCTGCGGGGGTTTGCTGATAAAGGGTTCCCCAACTGCCACTGTTGCATTGATTGTACTCACATCTACGTCGACAAGCCGGCGAACGCTCCGAGCGAAAACTACTACGACAGGAAGCGCCGTTTCTCCATCATCACGCAGGTTGTCGTCAACCTGGACTTGCGTGTGCTCGACGTGCACATGGGACACCCAGGTAGCTGCCACGACATCAGGGTGCTGCAGTTGTCCAGCCTGTCGCTGCGCGCAGAGGAGGGGTCGTTGTTCCGTGGTCCCCCCGTGACACTGCTGTTTGGTGTGAAGACGAACGGGTACGTTCTGGCGGACAATGGCTACCCCCCTTCCGAATGGATGGTCGTCCCGAATGGAGGCGTCAATCAGCACGTCGACGAGGAGCAGTTTGACAACAAACAGAAGGTGGCGAGGAGCGGTGGAGAGGGCGTTCGGCAGGCTGAAGGGCATGTGACGGCTGTTTCTGCGGACACACAAGACAAACCTGGAGACGCTCCCGCAGCAGTTCACCGCCGTGTGCATACTGCAAAACATGCTGATCGACGCAAGAATCCCCTTCGACGAGAATCTGCTATGGGAGGTCGACACTAATGGTGTGCGACGACGTGTGGACCTGGGGATCGAAGAGCCCCTCCAGCCTGTGTCGATGATGACGTCGACAGACGAAGCGTTGGCGCTGAGGGATGCTTTGGCGGAACGATTGAAACACGATTGAGTCGTGTTTCATTCGTTTGACGGCAGCGCATGGAAGTGCATTCATTGCAGCAATGGGCGGAGGGCAGATTCCTTGTTCCGTCCTGCCCTCATTGGGTCACTATCGTCTGTACGCCGTCGGGGTTGGTGGTTTGCGTGGAGGGTCGTGTTCCCCATGGTGGACGGCAGCGCGTGGAAGCGCGTTCATTGTAGCAATGGCCGGAGGGCAGATTCGTTGTTCCATCCAGCCTTGATTGGGTTGCTAGCTTCTGTCCTGCGTCGGGGTCGGTAGTTTGCGTCGAGGGTCGTGTTTGGTTGCTGTCGCGATTCGTGGACGTGCGTCGCCGTCCGTTTTCTTGAATTTTGTTATTGTCGTTGAAGTTGTTGAGTGCGGACACGACGCACTGCGGGTGTGAAGTGCGCCGATTTTGGGCACAGAGGATAGAGCACTATTGGTCATTCGGGTGGGCCTGAAACTTCTCCCCCACCTCCCTCCCTTTCTAAGTTTGTATTGTCGATTTCCATTACGTGTTGGCGTTGTGTGTGTGCGTATTTCATTGCGTCGATATTGTGTGTTGCTATTTCTATGCGTTGATGCACTGTGCCATTGCATGTTCACAATATGTTTTGTGGGACATCGCATGTTGTTTGATGCGCTGCGCTTTGTCTTCATGCGAGTGTTGGACTGGAACACAAACATATGTTTTGTTTGTCAGTCGGATAAGTGGGGGACGAAAAAAAAGTAAAAACCAAACAAAGCAACGACCGACAATGGCACATGCAAATGAAGATGAGACGTCTGAATGTGCATCCAAGAAGGCAAGGACCGTTCGGTGTGTGATGAGTGATCAGTCATGATCTGCAAACTGACGAAATCTCCTTCTGAATTGAAAAAAAAAAAAAAAAGAAGGTGGGCTCCAAGCGCAATCAACTTGTCTCGCCGCAAGCTGCGCCGACAACAACACAAAAGAACATCGCAGAAACCTACTCCGCTCCTACAATCTGCTGAAGAGAGCGCCGTCTACCGTCGCTTCTCCAACATCGGCAGCCAAACACCATCCACATCCAAAAGCAACCACGACCGCAGTTGCATCAAACACCCTGCCAGAGTGGACGACCAAAAACGTCGGGCGTCTGCAAGCACGAGCGACACGGTGTACACGTGCGGAACGAAGGGAGAGGCCATCAACAATCCGTTATCGTAATGCGGCGCCACCAAACCTGCGTCTCGGAGGCCGCCAAGCGCTCCCCCCTCTCCACTTCCCTTACCCGCGCTGGAACACGCGACCCGTTCACGTACCCTCTCCCGCCCTGCACGTGTCACCACCAGCAACACCCTCTCCCCCCCAACCTCCCCCCTACGCGTACCCTTTTCCGTCGTCGTCGTCGTCGTCGTCGTCCTCTAAGGGGCCCGAACCCAACCAATCCCCCCTCTTCGCGTCCTCTGGCCCCGTTATGGTCGCATCGTGCCCGAAGACGATGCCGCAGGAAGCTTAGTCGGGGATGTACTTCGGGTAGTCTCCGAATGTGGCGTTCGCCTTCCCTAGTCTCCCTGTGACGACGTTCGTGGCTCGGATGACGGACCATCGATGATCAAAGGCGCGATGCATGGACGCGACGAGCGTGGGCTTCGCGACCAGTTTCGCGAAGTAAAAGGCTTCGTAGTGGCTGCGCGGATCGTCTCCCGCCATGCGCATCAACCACATGCTGGCAGCCAACAAAAGCTTGAAGCAATCCGCAATTCTTGACAGACGATCGTGCGAGATGAACCCGCCGTCGACGTTGCCACCCATTTGCACCGCAGCGCGAAATGCATGTGCGATGCATATAACGGTCGCCTCCTGGTGCGCCGCCATGTCGTCGTCCTCCAGCTTGTCCTCGATGTTCGCGCTCGCAAACCACAGTGGCAAGTCCATGTTGAGGTCGATTGTGTGCGCGCAAACGGCCGCGCTAACGACGTTGCTCCACTCCTCGCCGTACCACACGACGCGCACAATGTCCGTCGCCACCGACTCCAACGCACACTGGAAAGCGACATTGAATCCTCGGGAGCGGTTCCCGGACTTGAAGACCGATCCGTGCAAGACGCGCAGAGCAATATTCTCCGCTGCCGTCGCGCGGGCGATCGCCTGCTGCAGTTGTGCGGGATCTGCAATCCTTATCAGGGTCGTGGAGGATTTCGGCATAACGACGCTCCTGGGCACGACGGGCGTTTGCAGCCCGCTGGCGATGGCGACAAAGTACTCCCTCGTTTCGTGGACGATGTTGTACAGCCTTCGCCCCTCCCCCGTCGTCCAGAATGCTTTGTCATCCACCCACAGGTGGGCACACTCGGCCAGATATTTCGCCATCCCTCCCCTCCGAACCCGACTTAGAAGGGGGTCTTCATCCTCCCTTTCACCCTTGTTGTTGTCGCGCGTCGCCTCCCGCTCCACAACTGGGACCTCCTCTCTCGCCCTCGCCACGGCAGCAACATTGCCCGAAGACCCCGCGGCTGCACCAGCGATCGCCCCCCCACTCGCCACGCACGCTTCTTGTTGGGCCCCCTCCCCTCCCCCGCGTTCCATGGAGCCTCCCTCTGCAGCCGTGTTGCGAGGACGCGGCTGGGACGACGTGGAGCGCAGGCCACCCTGAGGTGGCCTTTCTTCAGTCGCGGCGCGTATCCTGACTGCCGTCGCCATGGCGCCTTGTGTGACATTGCGCTGCCTACGGCTTTCCAAGGGCTCGTCACCCTCGCTGCCGACGTCGACGACAACCTCCTTCGCCTTCGCGGTGTTGTGGGCACACACTTGTTGCGCCTCCGGAAGTGGCGTCAGCAATCTCCTCGCACCGCTCTGATCAGATGAGCGTTGAAGACTGCTTCCCCGAGGCACCGGCACGTTGTCCTCTGCTGCTTCCTCCTCCGTCGTGAACACGTCGTCATCTTCCTCTTCGTTGGCTGCCGCCCAACTTCGCCCTCGCCGAAGAGGCAGGCTTGCTGATGCTTCTTCCGAACGGAGCCTCTTCGCCTTGGGGACATGCCGCCGACCCCTTTCCCGCCCCTGAGTGTCCGCAGGGATGTTTTCCCGCTTCTTGCCACGAGCGCCACCTCGCGCAGACATGCTTCCCGTCTCTGTCAATGGCCGTCTGTGGCTACGCATGCGTTCGCACCGACGACGAACAAGCGCCTTTGCCACCCTGGGGAGCAATGCGTCCACGTGTACCGAAGTACTTGGGCGACACCGGCGAGACTGGTTCGCGACGAGAAGAAGACGACACAGACGACGGCAAACCCCCAAGTGGCGAGAGAGATCCGCGGCGACAAAGACAGAGGGGTCCGCCCTCGCCACACACACTAGCTCGACGTCGACGCGAACGCGAGAAGGAGATGAACCCTGCGGACACTGCTCCACGGCGAGAAGAAGATCTTCGCGACTAAGCGACGCCGGACCTCCGAAGGGGCGATACGGATCCGCGGCGAGAAGGAGAGCGACAAGATCCACAGCGATGATCGACGAAGACATTGAAGAAGTCCCAGACGAGAAGGAGATGAACCCTGCGAACACTGCTCCGCGGCGAGAAGAAGATCTTCGCGACTAAAGGACGCCGGACCTCCGAAGGGGCGATACGGATACGCGGCGAGAAGGATCCCCGGCGAGAAGGAGAGCGACAAGATGCACAGCGATGATCGACGACGACATTGAAGAAGTCCAATACAAGGATGACTTCGAAGAAATGGGCGACCACGCGATCGTTGTGAGGTGCGAGGACGAGAAAAGGCAGAGGGCGTCCCGCGTGGATGTCGTCGCTGTGCACCGTGTGTCCCGACCTTCAGTGCTGGAGAAGCCGCAAGCGGACGACCTTTATGGTGGAGGAGGCACGGACGCATCGAAAGCATGGACCAGACAGACGGGCCCCGACCTCGATTCTTCGCCTGCCGTCGTCGTCGACAACGACACGTATGACAGCAACTCTCCAGACCTCCTTCGCGCACACTCCCTTCAACTGTTGCCACACCCAGCTCCCCGAGGCGCCTATACACCCTTCGACGCCTCTGCAGAAGCGCGTCCATACACTCTCCACGGGCCGATATGAATTTCTTCATAAAAAAAAACAACCCACACATCCCCCGCCCCCCCCCCCCCCCCCCCACCCCCCCCCCCCCCCCCCCCCCCCCCCCCCCCCCGGCGCGCAATTTCCTGGACATGAACGGTGACACCCCCGTCCACCACAATCCTTGACACACATAACCCCTTCAACAAGTGGCCCTCTCGCTGTGGAGACCACAAATGCAACACATACTACTCTCCTAGAAAACGAAGTGCAACAACTAAAAAAAATATATAATTCTAAAAAAGGTACTGCTAAGCATTTGGCGACGACACACACACACACACACACACACACACACACACACACACACACACAGAGGTCGCCATCTTTGCAGGCGCAACGAGTGGAGAGACAGGCCACTAAAGCAACGGTGGACATTACTGGCAGCATCACTCATGATCTCTCGCGGATGGCTTTTGCTATCTCCATAAGGGCGTGGCACATCATTCTGTTCGCCTCATCCGCCGCAGCATATGCTTCCTCTGCACTTCCACTTCGCTCTCCAGGATTTCGCACTGACGTAACATCATCGAGCATTGCCGCTTGCTCGCGCTGTCCATTGCGCTCGCCATGAGCGCACCATGCTTGTCCATGACCTCGGCGACGGCCTCAAAGGTTTGTTGCCGCATGTTCTTCCTCTTCCCATAACCGCCGCCGCTCCCCGCGCTGAATGTGGAGTCTTTCGTCGACCCCTACTCCTCGTCGGCTGCCTCCCCTCCACCCTTAGTGGCCATGGTGTCCAGCCCCCGCGCCTGCCGGCATCTGAACCCCACCGGCCGCCCCCGTGTCCGCCAAATTTTTCGGGTGGATCGTGTGATCCCCCTTCGTCATGGCCTCCATTTCATCGTACACGCTCCGGTCCATGACGAAGCTGAAGCCCTTCGATCGCCTGGCCTTTGAAGCAAGCTTGAAGTAGTCTTTCTCGCCGGAGAGGTTCTGGAACTTGTGGACCTTCTTGAATTGCTGCATCAAGTTGTCCCATTTCTTCCCGCAGTCGACGGCCTCCCTCGTCACGCCCATCGACTGCAACCTCGCCCTCACGTCCTCCCACTTCCACTCCCTCGTTTTCATGCGGGCGAAACTGGTGCCCATGCCGGCGATATACAGATCTTGATCCCTTTTTGCCCTGACGAGTGCTATCGTGTCTCCGACCGACCAGAAATTTCGTCCGCCATCGCCATCGCTCCGGCCCGTGTCGTCATCCATTTTCTTGCTCCGTTGAGTTTTCGTAGCGGGACCCTTCCTCGCAGTCGCTCCGCCGTTCGTCGCCTTCCTCCCCAGCGGCCTAATGTCTGGCAAATCGTCGGAGTTGCAATCGTCGTCACCGTCAACGTCGTCACACCCCTGGGCCTCCTCAACAGCAGCTTCATCCCCTTCGTCCACGTGGAGCAGTTGCACCCCTCTCGTGATTGTCTCCGTTCCACGTTGATGCAAGGCCTGCCTGCACTCTGCCCACAACTGCCTGCCATCGCGGTGCACGTCCGCACCTTCCTCACGCAAATCCTCCGGGCGCTGCCGTCCAGGAGGAGCGCCGGATCCGCTTCGCGACGCAGGTGACAACCGCATCCACTCCGGACGTTCACGCGCACCGACTCCTCCTCCGACGGTCGACGTCGAGTCATTCCGATTACCACCACCTTCACGAAGCGATTGAGGCAGACCACCGTCTCGCAGCCCGCACACACCACCGTGCGTGTTGTCCGCGCAATCCACACCCGGGTGGGGATTGATGATCCGAGTGTGCGTTGCCGCTGCTCCGCTGCTGCTGGACAACTGGAAGCTGAGATCAACCGCTGCATTGCCGTCGTCGTCGCACAGCCCCTCATTCAGAAGTGACGTGTAAGACCACGGGGTCTCCACCCGCCTGCCGCCGTACGACTGCGTCGCCGCCCATTCCTGCGTCGAACCACTTCCCAACGGCAAAGTCGACGACCTGGCGTTTCCCCCCTCGTCATCCGACGACGACAGAGGAATCTCGTGAGAAGGCAGGTGTGCATACAACCTCGGGTCGTACGACCGCTTCACCACAGACCCCGCACTGTGTTGCCGATTGCTCGCTCCGGAGGTTGTGCCTGCCGGTCTGCCGTTGTCCAGTCGTCGATCCATCCTGTCGGCTTTCTCCGAAGATCTCCTTCTGCGAGCCGTGAGCGGGACGAGGCCGATGAAACACACGTGGAAGAAGACAACGACGAGAAGCAGCACGGCGACGAGGACCAGCAGCGGCAGCCTGTGCAGCAGGTCGGCCATGTAAGGGCCGTTCGAAGGGCTTCAGTGTGACGTTGGCGGTCGACCGTTCAACGAACAAGCCCGTCGACACAAGAAAGATCGGTGGAAGATCTGTGCTCCAACGTGCGAGGCGTGACGACAATCGAAGAAAACGACGATCTTGTCCAATGAGACTGTCGTCGTCGAAAGGGGCGCCGGGTGGGAAAAGCATTCAAATTTCGGACCGTTGTCGACGATCGCCCGCCGCAGCAGACCTGACTGGACGCCGGCCGGCATTTCGCGTCGATGGACGGAGGCCTCCCGACGCCGGTTACCGTTTGGAGCCGCTGGGGCGCCGTGCAGATTTTGGACACTGGGATGTCCGTGCTCCGGTTCGCTGGACCACGTCTGGACCACCCTCGAACCGAAATTGTGCGTCGACGCATGCCTTCGCCACTCCGAAATTCGCGCTTCCTTGTGCTCCGAGGGATCTCGGGAGGTCCCTTGGGGGTTAGGAAAAATTGGCTGTGGCCACAAGGACGCCACAAGGAAATCTCCTTCTGGTGTTTTCACATTTTTTTTCGAGAATCGTCCCCAAGGACAGGTGGAACGATCATTTCCTTGTGGATTTCGGGTCCACAAGGAGTGTCTAACGAGGCCCTAAGTCATACTGGACCCTCAAAATTTCCCAAACGTTTTTCACCAATTTCTCCCAAAATAGAGCAAAGCAAAATCCCACCAGTTTCCTACTCTTTCGACTATATAGCTGGGCTACCAGACGTGCCGCCCGAGTCCCCAAAGCTGGCACGGGACGTGCCCGGAACGACCGGCCGGGCAACTGGGCCGGGCGGTCGTCCCGGCCCATATCCCATCCAAAAAAAACAAAAAACAAAAAAAAAAACAAGATTTTTTGAAAAAAAAGTATGGTGTGCAGATTAGCAAACCAAACAACGTTTGGCTGAGGGTCACTTCCAAATTCTTCACAAAATGCAAAATAAAAATAAAATAACGTAAGGAAAATCATCTCACAGACTCACACCCTTTCAACCCCATTTGAGGCCCTTAACCCCCCCCACCCCCCCCGACCCTCCAAAACTTACATGAACCAAAAATATATATATGACCGGATTTGGGTCCCTCTCGGACGGCGCAAAAATGCCCCATCATCAGGAAAAAAAAGGAGGAGGTTTTGACTGTCTTTTTTCCTCACCCGGCTGACCCGGGCAGGAGGGTCTTAGTCGCACTGGCCCGGCAGCCCGGCCTGTGCGGGTCTGGTAGCCCAGCTATATAGTATATTCACATGAGCATCGAACGTTTGAAATGCAACCACCCTTTTTTCTTTGTTCTTCGCCAAATTTCGGGTCTGGATGGATGCCGATAGATGTCAGCTGACTGTGAGTAACTCTGGACCAGTGAGCTCAGAAAAAGGACAATGCAAGGAACATGAGTATGGACGAAGCACAGAAATCCAGAATGCAATATCACACTGAAGTCCAAGTATTCAAAGCCAAAGCAGATAGTACAATGGAACCGAGTAACCATCCAATTGAGAATGATACAGAAGAATCGTGAGTCAATGTCCATGCCCAACAGGGCAACACCAACAGGATAACCCAAATGTAGCTCTCTCTTGTGAATGGCGCCAGGCACCCTATCTACTCTACAGCCTATCCTACAACTACAGCAATGAAAAGCAACCAGACAACTTGACTACCAGCGAGTGATGATGTCAACACCAATGCCGATCTCCACCATCATCAGGTACGTGTCCTCTTCCCCACACTCTCCCTTGTTACCCMCACAGCGCCCTTCACCTCCGAAGACCACCTTCGCCCTACACCCTCACTGCACCCTCATGCGGCCCGGCTATGGCCGCCAGTGCCTTGCATGCAGGCAGCGCCCTACTGCCTAGCGCTGGCCTGCTTGCTCTTAGCGCAGCGCTGCTCTGCACTGCGCAGCACACATGCATCCGCGCAGCGTGTCCGCAATGCCAGCATTGGCCAAGATCCCAGCCCACTCGCCCTGCTTGCCTATATGCCAGTGCTGAGTGTGGGCGGCCTCCCTTCGGCCTCCGACAGTGCCCCAGTGGCTGAACCCAGGCCCATTACAGTTGGGGCCCGGGAGATGCAGTTGTGCCTCTCTCGTCAAGGCCTGCGGCCAGATTCAGACAGTGGGCCGGTTTCCCTTTGCATTTTCGGCCTCTATACCCAGCGTGCATTGTCGGCCTCACGTTCAGGAGCCCAGGGCCTAACTAACTCAGAGGCCCTGGGCATTTCAGCATTTGCTGAGATCCGAAACTCGGTGCACTCCAACCAACTGGCGTGCTGCAACTGTAAGGACCCCACTTCGTGAAATGTATGCACAGAGGGCTATTGTTGATTTGCTGGCCCGCCTTCACTTAGGGCGGGCATGAGGCTTGCAGGGGCCTTAGCCCAGAACATGTACATCATGGCATGGCCCCTTCTTGAGGGCTCATTCCTCACAACAACATCACACAAATACAATTCGGTTTCTGGCGGGCCGATGAAATGATCGTAGGGACTTGTCAGTATGGCACTATTTTGCACTTCATCATAACATTCATGTGCCAACTATTTTGCGCATACCTCACTCCACGGCTTTGTGTTTCTGTGTTCTCTAACCTTAGGGGCTACCCTCTTTCCCCCCTTCCACCCTCACCAAGGAAAAGGGGGCAGGTTAACCCGAAAGGTGCGAAAAATGTCAAAAACATATGTAGGGTGCTAGGAGCTTAGAAAACAACAATACACAGGACTCAGGACTGTACCTGTCAGAATGATGATGGCTGAATGCCGTACAAAGTAGTAGACACCTGAGTGAGGACGCCGCCTGGCCGGGCCTGCCCGGCCGGTTGGGGCCTGGGGGGCGCCTGGGTAAACCGGGCGGGCCAAAAAACCGCCCAGATTTTTTATTTTATTTTTTTGAAACCGGGGTTGTTCTGCGCTCAGCGAGAGGACCCCGAATTGGCAATAAAATTTCGTTTTTTTGGAGGGGTTGGGGGTTGCTGGGGTTGGGGGGGTGTCTGGGGGTTGGGGGATCTGCATGTATGTTGCCTGCTGTATGCTGAATGTATGTCATCTGATATGTACTGGGTTGGGGGCTCTGCATGTTTGTTGCCTGCTGCTCTGATGTCTGCTGCATGCATGTTATCAACCCTTTCATTCTGAAGAAGAACAAGACTGACAAAAAATGATAATTCAGAAGAAGAAGAAGGAGAAGAAGAAGAAGAAGAAGAAGGAGAAGAAGAAGAAGAAGAAGATGAAGATGGATGGATGGATGGATGGAGGGGGGGACGGATGGCGAGATGGGAGGATGGAGGGATGGAGGGAGACTGCTTAACAACGTCCAAGAAGAAGAAGAAGATGGACGGATGGATGGACGGGAGGGGGGATGGCGAGATGGGAGGGAGGGAGGGATGGCGAGATGGGAGGAAGGGAGGGATGGCGAGATGGGAGGAAGGGAGGGATGGCGAGATGCGATGGAGGGAGGGATGGAGGTAGTGATCGATGGATGGATAGATGATGGATGATGGATGATGGCGAGATTGGATGGATGGAGGGATGGATGGATGATGGAGGATGGAGGATGGCGACATGGGATGGAGGGAGTGATGGATGGATGGATGAATGGATAATGGAGGATGGCAAGATGGGATGGAGGAGGAATGGATGGATGAGAGGATGGAGAAAGGCAGGGAGGGAGTAGGGAAAGAGGGGAAGAAGAAGAAGAGGAGAGGAGGAGGAGGAGGAGAAGAAGAAGAAGAAGAAGAAGAAGAAGAAGAAGAAGAAGAAGAAGAAGAAGAAGAAGAAGAAGAACGGTGCCTTCGTCGTAGCAGCAGGGCCTTCGTCGTAGCAGCAGCAGCAGCAAAGTCGGGGCCTTTGTTGTAGCAGCAGCAGCAGGACAGTCGGGGCCTTTGTCATAGCAGCGACAGCAGGACAGTCGATGGCGATGGCGACGGGCGACGGGCGACGGCGCAGCAGCAGGTTGGCACCAAGTCCGATCATGCTGGGGGGCGAGTGGCAGACCACCCCAGCCGATCGGAGGTTCGAACGGGGGGGAAGGTTGGCGCCCCGTCGATCATGGTGGATCGACTGCCACAGAACCGGAGCGAATTAAAAAAAAAAAAAAAAACAGGCCTACCGGGCCCGACGCAACGGTTTCTTGGGCTGGTCGGACCCGGTAGGCCTGCGGGAGGCCAATACCAGCCAAAAGGGGGTCTGAAGCCCCCCGACAGGTGACTGTGCTGGGGGGGGGGGGCGGGCCCCCAACCGGGTGCCCTGCCCGTCCCCCGAGCCCCTGCCGGTCACCCGGGCGGCCCGGATCCCCACTCAGATAGACACACACATACAGCAGAGCAGAGGCTGGTGCCCCCATAATCATGCTGTACGGAATCAATATTCGAGTTTTTTTTTTTTTTTAACGGGCGACGGCCTTGAGATATGGTCATCGAACTGACCGGCCCTCGGTAACTCAGATCTGAAGTCTTTTACTCATCTGCTTCCAATGGAGTTTGATCTCAGGTCTGTATTTCAACAGTTGAAGGGTGTACCGAGCTACGTCAATATTCGTGATTTAGTTCCTCGACTGTCTGGAAAAAAAAAAGAAAAAAAAGCGCAGATGTGGCCCCCGGAAGATCTTCTTTCTAAAAACATGGACCTTTCTTGACTTACACGTGTCATCCTTGCGCAGGGGCCACGCCTATCTTCTCTCTGTGTAGCGTTCCAATTTTAAAGGATGTCCTGAAGGACATGGCCTTCGAAAGATCTAAGTTTTTTCTAAATGCATATATCCAACTCACAGATTTAGAACTTCAGATCTTTCGAAGGCTGAAAAAAAAAAAAAAAAAAAAAAAAAAAGGACTATATGGTCCATGCTCACCTTCATATGGGTGGGTTTTATTATCCTGTAAGGAAAGTGGTTGCATGTGAAGTGGGAGTGCAGGGGCGAGGTTCCAGTAGCAAAGAGGATTTGATTAAGCGTCTGAACACGAATGTGTTTTATGGAGAGATGCAGAAAAGCAGATCATTTGCAATGTTCTGCCCCTCCCCGCAAACACGTCCAGATTCAGGCATTAAGTGTCTGAATATGGATGTGCCTCTCGCATGCAAGGCTCGCCACGTTGATGAAGTTGAGCGCGAGCTGCCCGTATCCCCATGCGCTATGACGGCGCACTTGTACGCTGTGAGGAAGAGGCAGAGAAAAGGAGGGGGGGATAAACACAGGGAAGAGAGGGGTGGAGAGAAGACAAACAAAGAGCGATGAAGGGAAAGTAAGGGAAAGTACAGAGTGCGGAATGAAGATGAAGGCAAAGGAGAGGATAAGAAAAATCTCAAGAATCAGTCTGTCCTTGAGGACAGAGAGGACATACATCGTAAGGATGAGGTGGATGAAGACATGGAAGACCTCCCTCCTAGCTGAGCATTATCAGAACCACAATTGCCACGACGGCTGGCATTGAGCATACGCTCCAGACAACTGGCATATCGACTGTGCTTTTCTGTTAATTAAGGAAAAGAGTTATACCTTCCTGCTGAGCCTTCTCGTCCTCTGTACACATGTAGTCGAAATCTTCATGCATCAGACTTCGAAAGATCTGCTGACTGCTCCTTTGCACGTCTCCTCCTTCCCTTCCCTCAAGGCCTTGGCTTTCCGTACAACTGCTGGCATCTCTTCTTCCTTGTCCTGACCGGATCTTTTTCTGGGCATCTTTCAGTCGCTGCTGAAACGATTCCTGCGCGATTTCATAGATGCGAGCTGTGTCGCCAAGAAATTGGAGGTACTGACGCACCATCCCTACCTTGGCCGGCCCACTGAGAACTCCCAGCTTCAACTCATACGTGCGCAGAATCTTTTTGACCGCAGTGACAGGGTCTTTGATGCTAAACAGGAGATCGATCACTGCGCCTCTGAAGTATGGGAAAAGGTTGATGAACTGGTCGCCAATAAATCCTTCAGCATCAATCACTGCAATTGCTTCTTCGTCCATCAGATTTGCTGACACAATCATGGACATAACCTTGAGGGGAGGGGGCACAAACCAGAACAATTATCCCCCTCC